TCGCCTCGCGGGAGCAGCCCCCGCGCCGGACGTCCTTTCCCAGGGAACTTGCATCTTTAACTGCCTGCCCGTTAGGACCCATCTGTGAGCATAGTGGCCGCCTGCCAGCTCGGAGGGCACCTGCCCGGGCAGACCCAGAGCCGGCCCCTCGCGGCAGGTGCCTCTTCTTGGTGCTGCCACACACACGCAGCGGCCCCGCCGTCGCTGCGAGCTTTCGGTGACAGCTCGCCCAGGGCCCTCGTGCCTCCATCAGAGGAGGCAGCCCTGTCACACTGTGGTCCCGGCAGCTGGGAAGACACGCCCACCACTCACAGTAGCCATCGGACTTAGGGCCTCTCCCCCACATGCGTGTTCCTGCCTGCAGATGGGAATGGGCAGGGGCAGTGCATTGGCCGCAGGTGCTCAGGACCGCTTCCCTCTTCACCTGTGGGTTCCCCTCCTCGCCTGTTGTCTGAATTCGCCCTGTGTACCAGCTGCTGTTGTGTGCGCTGGACTTTCCATGCTCATCTGTGTCCTTGGAGAGAGACCCCCTCCACAGGGCTTATTAGTCCTTAGTGATAGACAAGAGCCTTCCTACTGTGACTCATAAGCTTGCCTTGATTTAAGATACAGTGTTGACTTGGAGACCAGAGCAAGCAGCACTTTGCATTCCTCCCTCCTGCAAACATTCATTGAGGGCCGGGTGTTGGCTGGACCTCGCTGGAGCTGGGACACCCCCATGAATAAGAACAAGTCAGACAAGACCCCTTCTGCCCTGGGCTTTGGACGGTATTGACTTTGACCCCAGGGACACCAGGACCTTAGGGCCTGGGATGTCATTTCATGTGAGAGTGAGGGATGGAATGAGAGGTGTTCAGTTGGGAAGGGAGAAGGACTGACAGCTGCTCCCCAGTGGGGAGAGGGGTCTTGTGGAAGAAAAGTTGGCGCTGTCCTTACCTACAGGGGCTTGTATACAGAAGGCACTCAAAAGAGCTTTGACTTGCATATAAGAAGCATCTTTTGCCCTGGAAAAAGCCTGCCTGCGGAGGGGGAGCTGTACAGCTGTGCTTGATCCCACGCTGGCTCGGTGGGGACGCGGATGCAGGCAGCCTGTGGTCCTCATCTTGCCTTCTGCCCGGCTGTGTACTTGTTTTCAAGTCTTGTTTTACTTAGGCTCTTCTGTGTTAAGTAGGTTTGGCTCACCATCCCCCATCTCACAATGTTTTTAAAATTATTGTTCTTGTCAGGTTTGGTGTCAGGAGTGTGCTACTTTTATTAAGGGAAACTTTCTATATTTTTCTGTGCTCTGAAGTTTCTGGAGCATGGGAATGATTTATTCTTGAGGGAAAGGGATTGCTGTAGACGGCGCCCCCTTTTGGTTGGTGTGGGCAGGATTTCCGGAGCTGACAGGAGCTCCTCTCTTCAGTGCAGGTCCTAATCTGAAGGAGTGGCTGAGGGAGCAGTTTTGTGACCACCCGCTGGAGCACTGTGAGGACACGAGGCTCCATGACGCCGCCTACGTGGGGGACCTCCAGACCCTCAGGAGCCTGTTGCAGGAGGAGAGCTACCGCAGGTGAGCATCGCTGCGGGGGGGTGGGGGTGGGGTGGAGCTGCCCTGTACTTGGGCTCTGTGGGTCTGCACGCAGCCGAGGCTCACAACCCAGGTGGGAGGCACACTGTCTGGTTGTGATGCTTTCCAGTTTTAGAGGACAGGGAAAAAAGGAGGTGGAGGAGCCTGGTCAGACTCCTGGGAGACAGCCAGATACTGAGGTCAGGGAGACCTGAGTTCAAGTTCAGCTGTCATTTGACCTTTATATTTTCTGGCAGCTTCTGGCCTCGTGGTGTCAGCTTCTTCGGTGTTACTCCTGAGGCAGCACTGTTACTCTCTCCAGCAGTGGTAGCCCTGCCCCTCTGAAAGTCTCTGGCTCTTTATGCTAAGCGGTACACTACATTCACCTTCCTCGTGTATTTTCCTCTGGTTATCCCCTGGGGGTTCAGATCCCCTGATGTACCACACGTGACCTCATTCCTGGTGTACTCCCCTCTGGCTTCTCAGGTCCTCAGTCATCTGCCTCCAGGGCCTGGGGACAGCTGTCTCATCCACCAGGCGTGTGCTTGGTGCTGTTTCTCGTTCACTTTGTCCATACTGCCCTGCCTGTTGCCCTGCCAACTCTGGTCAGTCCCTTCAACGCGGCTCAAGCTCTTTCTTCCCAGCAGTGGAATCTTGCGACTCCTTCTTCCTACTTGGCACACCTGGGAGAGATCAGAGGCTTCCTGCTTTCTGGGGTGTTTTCTGATTGCTTGGGTGCCGAAGACTGGAGTCCTAACTAGATTTGAAACTGCAACCGAACATCACCATGCTTTTTCCGTGTTTTTCTTTCCCCTTCAGGACTGAGTTGAGAGGAGAAATGCCTGCATGTGGATATGAATCCAATACCACCTTTGTGGATAGTTCCCCAAAAAAGGGTTTTTGCCCTGGCTGTGTGGCTCAGTTGGTTGGACCATCATCCTGTACACCGAAAGGTTGCAGGTTCGATCCCTGGTCAGGGTGCCGATGGGCGGCAACTGATCGATGTTTCTCTCTCACATAGATATTTCTCTCTCTTCTTTCCTCTCTCTCAAAAATCAATGAAAATAACCCTGTCTGGTGACCCACACACCGCAGGGTTGTGGGTTCAATTTCTGGTGAAGGCCACATACCTGGGTTTCAGGTTCTATTCTCAGCTTTGGTCAGGGTGTGTGTGGTAGGCAGCCAACTAATGTGTCTCTCTCACATCGATGTTTCTCTCTCTCTCTCCCCCTCTCTCCCTCTCTTCCACTCTCTATGAAAAAAATCAATGGAAAAAATATCCTTGGGTGAGGATTAACAAAAAGAAATAATATAAAACAAATGAAAATATATTCTCTGGTGAGGATTAAAAAGAAAGGGTTTCTAACACTATAGAAATAGGTTTCTTTCTGCTTTCCTTATAATATCTCAGTATTAATCCCTTACAGCAGATATTAGTATTAAGAAAAAGCTCTAAATGTCCATAAAGAATTGTTATACAAAGACATCAGGTGGATTACACACAGATATTCAATGTGAATGACTCAAGCCCAAAGCAGACCTTAAGTTTGCAGCTTACCAGTAGAATAAAAACAGCAGAAGAATGTCGAGTGCAGCTAGGTTTTAGAGCACCCGTTTTCATATTGCTTTTCCAAGTGCTCCTTTCTTCTTTCTTTACTCAAGTGCAGTGACTCCTGCTTGCTGATGATGTTTTTGCTGCTGTGTATTTCTTTGGGGAGGTGTCCTAGGGGTGTTCCTTGGCCTTCTTGGCCAGTGGAAGCTAGTTCCCAGCTGAAGGAGGAGCCCGACCCACTGTACATTTCTGCGTCACTGCTCCTGTGGCCGGGGTTCCTGAGCGGTGTCCAAGGCTGCTTGGGGAACTTGAGGTAAACCATGCCTCAGTTGGTGACTTGGAGGGTCAGTGGGTTGCACGGATGGCATTCGTGGACAGCGAGCCCTGGTCTGATTGTCACTTCTGATGAGAGCTGAGTCTGCATAGGCTCCCTCCATTGCTGTTGGCCAGGAGTGTAGGCCTGTGCAGCTTTAGTGGTTCCTGCAAGCTGTCATTTGTGCTGTGTCAGATCAGAGGGCCCACAGTGGTCACCTAGTCCCAGGGAGAATACCAAGGCCCAGAGCGTGGTCCAACCTTAGGCCTTCGCAGGTAGGCCCAAGCTGGGGCTAAGGGGCCTGGGGCCTGAGCAGATTCCCGTGAGTGCTGTCCTCCATGCTGCCCCGCTTCCCTAGGCAAACCCTACCCTCTGTGGAGCAGCCCGAGGTCTTCTCTAGTGTCCATCCGTGTACCTGGGCCTCGGATTTCTTTTCTGTAGAATGGATCCAGCAGGGTGAACATGTGAGCGCTGTGGAAGCAAAGGGGTGGCTGTTTTAGGAGCTTGGCCCCCTACTCTCTGTTTCCTAGTCTCGGTACGAGGGGAGGCACAGCTTGTGGGTTTCCCAGTGCCGCCCCTCATGGCCTGGATCCCTGTGTTCTCTCTCAGCCGCATCAACGAGAAGTCCGTCTGGTGCTGTGGCTGGCTTCCCTGCACACCGCTGCGCATTGCGGCCACTGCTGGCCACGGGAACTGTGTGGACTTCCTTATCCGGAAGGGGGCCGAGGTGGACCTCGTGGATGTGAAGGGACAGACGGCCCTGTATGTGGCCGTGGTGAATGGACACCTGGAGAGTGCCCAGATCCTCCTTGAAGCCGGGGCTGACCCCAATGGAAGCCGGCACCATCGCAGCACTCCGGTCTACCACGCCTCCCGCGTGGGCAGGGCCGACATACTGAAGGCCCTCATCAGGTCAGTACTGCCAGGCCCGGCCCCCATGGCCTCTGAGGGCCACCACGGGGAACTGCAGCCATGGTCTCAGTCCTTGATTTCCATATTTGCTTGTGTTTTTTTTCTCTCTTTCAAATTAGACTTGTTAGAGGATTTGTCTATTTTGTTAATCTTTTTAAAGAGTCACTTCTTACCTGTATCAGTTTTTTTTTTACTGATTAATTGCTATTTTTAATCTGTTTTCCATAACCTTTGAGTTATATGCGTATTCACGTTTTTCTTGATTAATAATGTAAATATTTGCCTATAGCCTTGGCCATCCACTAGGCTTTTTCCTCATTTTTAAATGTAGTTGAAGTTGAGTTCTTTTTTTAATAAATCTTTTTATTGATTTCAGAGGGAAGGGAGAGGGAGAGAGAGATAGAAACATCAATGATGAGAGAGAATCATTGATTGTCTGCCTCCTGCTCGCCCTACACTGGGGATCAAGCCCTGCAACCTGGGCATGTGCCTGACTGGAAAAACAACCATGACTTCCTGGTTCAATGCTCAACCACTGAGCCACACTGGCCAGGCAAGTTTAGTTCTTCTTTGTTCTTATAGTTATGAAGAAGAAAGTTTTATCTAATTGTATCATATTGTGCTCAGATAATATGGCCCACCTAATTTCCATTTTGGGGATTCTTTGTATTAAATATTTTTTTGTGAATGTTAGACTACATTGTTGTGGGTGCTTGTAATAAAGTACATGATCATGGGTGTTTTGTGTGTGTAGTACAGTATGGTTGCCTCAATTATGTGATTCAGAGTTCCTTTCTCTGTTTTTACATTTTTAACCAAATTCAGAGACCCTGTTACTGTCTAATCACTGTTGTAATTTGTTTCCCCTGTATTTCTAATAGTTTTTGCTTTCTGTATTTTTTTTAAAATATATTTTATTGATTTTTTACAGAGAGGAAGGGAGAGGGATAGAGAGTTAGAAACATCGATGAGAGAGAAACATCGATCAGCTGCCTCCTACACGCCCCCTACTGGGGATGTGCCCGAAACCAAGGTACATGCCCTTGACCGGAATCGAACCTGGGACCTTTCAGTCCGCAGGCCGACACTCTATCCACTGAGCCAAACCGGTTCTGGCAGCTTTCTGTATTTTGATGCTAATTGAGTTCATAAAAGTTCTTGCTTATTGATTATGCTCATTATAAAAAAAAAGTGTTTTTTGAATGAAAAACCTATTAGTTTCATTGAAGGCTCCTTTACTTAGCACTCTGTAACTGAGAGCTTTCATCTTCCCAGGTTAATCTTGGTGTTCACCTTTATTATTTGACTGTCTGGGGTTCTTTGTTTTTAATACAGTTAACATTATTGCTGTAGCTGCTGTTAGGTCTGTTTCTTAACTGTTCTACAGCTTATGTCTTTGTTCCATGATCTATGATTTCTTTGCTTTCTCTTTCTAGCATTTTGGATGGTTTGTGGTCTTAGTTTAATTGTGCTGGTGGTTACCTTTTTTCCTTATTTGAACCAGGTTGCATTTTCATTTTCCATATCTCCAGTGACTTCTTTCTACCAAAGATGCCCTTTCCCTTCCCTTACTCAGGAGGCAGCTCCTCTGTGGTTGACCGAGTGCAGTTTAGGTACCGGTTCTCAGAGTCAAAGGACTAGGTAAGGGTTCTGTTGTTTCAGGTTGCAGTGGGGTAGTTCAGGGAGCAGGGACCTGACATTCCCGTTGGCCATCACAGAACGTGGTTTTGAATTCAGGTACCGAGAATATATTAATTCCGTTCTGTACTAAATGGCTATGAAATTGACCTTTGGAAAGGCAAATGGGATGATATGGCTTTGATATTGAGGGTGGTAGAGCGGTGATGCCTTTTCTCCTTCTTGTCAAGGCTTTCTAGCCTGATAGGCTAAGCCCTGTATTTTTGCGTCTCAGAGAACATAAATCATTAACTTGGAAATGTTTCTGAGTAGGTGAAGTTTCATCTTGGTCCCTGAGGTCCCTCTGGGCACTTCAGTTGTCCTGACGCACGGCTGCTTTGAATTAAGTGAGGCCTGGCTTTGAGAGATGCACTCGCAGTGCCTTGTGGAGAAAGGTCACTCAGGCATCTGGTTACCTCCTGGAGCACAGACACTACTTTCACAGTGAGGTCCCCAGAACACGTGCTACCCTATTGAAAGTTTGTGTGTTCTCAGTGGTGAGGTCAGTGACTTGGGAAATGGGAGTGCTGTGGTTGGTTCCTGATGGACAGTCCAACCTGAGCATCCCCTGCCTTCCCACCATTTCCCCAGGCCAGGCTTTCTTCTAGCACTGGTAGTGGTGTCCTCTGCAAGTAAGCCTCCATCCCGTTGCTTGGTGTATGTTGCTGATGCTTTTTTAAAAAGGTAAGGAGTGGTATTTCTCTATGTGCAAGTTATGTTGATTTATTGAGTTGTCCCAGGGGTTCCTTGCCAGTGATATTAAAAGCAGTAGGGAATTTTTGGAAAATATTCAGGATTAAAATGAACTGGCTCTCATCCAATATATTTTTATGAGTGGATGCAGGGCTGTCTTTCCCATAGCTCAGCTAATACCAGATTGTCATATTGCCCAAAATTACAAACATTTTGGAAAACAAACCCCTGAGAATGAGGAAAAAAAAATCAATGCTTGAAACCTAGTTCCCTTTTCTTAATTGATTGAGTGTGTGAAATGAAATAGAGTTTCTGCGTGGTTTGGTGTGTGTTTTAGAATGTTTCCTCCTCCCTCCTACGGTGTCTGGGAGAGTGATGTTTGCACTTGTAGTGTCTGGTGATGCCACACGGTGGCGTCAGTGGGAGGTCCATGTGCTGTCTTTTCTTTACAGGCCTGTGCTGCTGGAGAGTGGCAGTGCAGGTTCCACAGGACACTGGGACAGAGCACAAGCGTGGTGCTGGCTGTGACTGCAGGCCAGCCACTTTTGGGAAGGCGTGGGAAACACTGCTGTTCCCTCTGCCCCATCGTCATACTGCCTACAAACTCCCTTTTCCTAATTCAGATGAAGTGTGTGATGACAAAGCTTGGGAGGCACAGCAGGACTGGTTCAAGGCCACAGGTGCTGGCTGTCTGGTGTTTACTCGATTAGAGTAGGTACTGTCTCTTTGCCAGGACTCCCGGAAGTGAGGCTGCGCTTCCCACTGCATTCTATGAGGCTGCATGTGACTCCAGTTGTTCCTGATACCGCTGACGTCCCGGCGATCTTGTGGTTAACCTGGCGTCTGCCAGGTTATTCTTTTTCCCTCTGTAATTAATTAATTTGTGGAGAGGTATACTTTGCAAACATGCATATTTCGTATTCCTCATCAGGATTTTAATTCATTTATTTATGTTAGACTCGTGGGTTCCTGTATTACCCACTGAGTTATTATTTAATTATATTGTTAATTATTTTGATGCTTTAGCGGCTTCAGATTTGTCTTTGGGACCCCCAGCCAGCCATCTCTCTGTTTTGGACACATCCCCATCTTAGAGCAGTTCCCCACTTTCTCACATAACAAATTGTTCTAGGCTCATCTTGTGCTTTCTGTCTCAGCCCTGGAATTTGACTCCTGGTTTCTTTGGGTGGAGAATGTGTTTAGAAACCAAGATCAGACACGAGGAGTGCTTATTGCGTGTGGGGGTCACTGTTTCCAGGCCCTCCTACTGTGTAGAGCTCAGTCACTTACACACATTCCATCTATGTTTCTCTGTGAACATCAGCAGATAGGTGTTCACGTGGATGCTTCCAGCTTCTCTTTTCCAACCAGAGAGACCTGGTTTCCGTCCTTAACATATTTACTTATTTTGTAACCCAATCTCTATTAATGACTGTTCTGTGGAGAGGTATACTTTACAACCATCTCTTATTACCACTGCCCCTTCCCACACATGCCCCTCACTCACCCCATACCAGGCACATCCTCAGCAGGCATCCTCTTCACTTGGCCAGGATGTGACATCCTGAGCAGGTCTCCCTGCCCGCTGTAGTCAGTGGCCCCTGCTTAGAGTAAAATGACCCAGGTTGAACGTAGCTTGTGCTTGGCCAAGGAAAACTCCAAATGCCTGATAGAATGTGTCCCTGAATGCAGTGACAAGGCCAGTCCTTGTGGGGGCCCTGAAGGCTCTCTCTGTAGAGTCCTTTAGAGACTGGCCGATACACGCCCACTCAGGTGAGATCATTTCCTACTTCCTGGGCTGCCACTGGGAGTGAGGGGAGGAGGCTCCGAGACAGCCTTAGGGATTAGCTCAGGGACCCCTGAGCAGCCCACTTGGGGGCTGTATGAACCTCCCTGTGCTTCCAGTCCTCATCCTTCCAGGTGACTGATGCACCTAGCAAGCCAGCCTGTCTGGATGTGTAGTATACCTGATGGCACCAGCTGGTACATAGTTGAATTCAAGTGTTTCTTTTGTTTTCAGTTTTTAGGGATTGCTCTTTATGTAACAACTAGAGGCCTGGTGCACAGATTCATGCACCGGTGGGGTCCCTCAGCCTGGCTTGCGGGGATCAGGCCTAAACCAGCTCTCCAGCATCCCTCGAGGGGTCCCAGATTGCGAGAGGTGCAGGCCAGGCTGAGGGACCCCACTGGTACATGATCAGGGCTGGGGAGGGACCGTGGGAGGGCTCCAGGGCATGACCAGCCCATCTCACCCAGTCCCAATTGGGGCGGCCGGCTGGGGACACACTGCAGGAGGGCTCCAGGGTGTGTCCAGCCCATTTCGCCCAGTCCTGTTTGGGGCAGCCAGCTGGGGAGAGACTGCAGGAGGGCTCCAGGAGGTATCCAGCCTGTCTTGCCCAGTCCCGATTGGCCAGATCCCAGTGGCAAGCTAACCTACCGGTCGAGTGTCTGCCCCCTGGTGGTCAGTGTGCGTCATAGCGAATGGTCGAATGGTTGGACACTTAGCATATAAGGCTTTTATTATATAGGATATACTTTACAACACACAAGTGCGCAAAAGTAGGTTTACAGTTGTAAGTATGCAAAATAGTGTTTATTCTTGTATTATTAATTATTGTATTATTTATTTGTATTATAACTGTAAGCCGACTTTTGCCCATTCTGTATATTTACATGGCTTAGAGTCAAGTCTATAAATCAATGTACAGTTGACCCTGGGAGTTAGGGGTGCTGTCCCTTGTGCCGTCTAAAATCTGAGTGTAACTTTTGAGTCCTCCAAAACTTAACTGTAGTTAAGTATCCCCAGGGGCGGAGGGCTTGGTTCCAGGACCCTCACAGATACCAAAATTCACAGATGCTGAAGTCCCTTATATAAAATGACATAGAACAATGCATACAGTTGGCCCTCACAACCAAGATTCCCACCCTTGGATCAGAATGCTGTATTCAAACTGTGGTTGGTTGAATCTGTAGCTACGAAGCCCCAGGGATACAGGGGGCCAACTGAATATTGAAAAAGACCCGTGTATAAGTGGACCCATGCGGTTCAAACCCACCTGCAAGGGTCAACTTGATTTTATAATTTTCCTCATGCAAATCCTGGATACACCGTTAAGTTTATGCTTAGCTATCTCACTTTAACATTTATTTTGCTATCATAAATGCAGTCTTTCCCACTTTATATTTAACTTGTTTTTGTTTGTATATATGAAGGCTGTTGTTTTACAACTTGCTACTGTAATAAAGCTCATTGCTTGTTAGTTGTATTTTCAGTAATTATGTAGGGCTTTCCAGACACAGTCATGGCCTCTGAAAACAGGAAGTTTTACCTCTTCCTTTCCATCTTAATAAGCTCATTTTTCCTCTTGTCTAATTGCACTAATACCTTTATTTACAGAAGGTAGGAGTGTGCGTTGCTCCTGGCTTTAGTGGGAAAGCCAAGTGTTTCCTGACTTCTAGGGTCAGGAAGTCTTTTTTATTGTGTTAAGGAAACATCTATCATTTACTGTCTTATTAGAGTTTTTAAGCATGCATAAGTGTTGAGTTTTATCATGTGCCTTTTCTTTTGCTTCTATAGAGGCAAACATGATTTTCCCCTTAGTTCTCTGAATATGATGGGTTATCTCAATAGTGTTTCTAATATTGGAACTACCCCGGCATTCTTGCAGTAATCCCCCTGAGGTCCTGGTATGTTGCTTTCTTAATGTTTTTGGATTCTCTTTGCTAACATAAGTGTAGTTAGTTGGCAGTTTTTCTTTATGGTGTGGCCTTCATCAGGTTTGGGGAATATTGTTTTGGTGATCTCATAAGATAAATTTGGAAGTTTTCCTTTGTTTAGTAGTTTAGCTGTGGGATTGTTGGATTTTTGAAGATTTGAGAGAATTTTCTTACGAATTTGTGAGTGGGTTATAGGTTCCTAACTATTGTTTACTTGCTGGAAGTAATGAGACTGATGTGATCTGTGGCATCTCCAGTGGTCCCCAGTGCTCATAGAGTTCAGGCCCATCTCCTTGAGGTATGTGGGAATCTGTTGACACCATTAGTCCCAGTCCCCTGAAACGTCTGATCATCCCCGTGTCTCCCCTGTAGGTATGGGGCTGACGTCGACATCAACCACCACATTTTTCCTGACATCCGGCCGCCCTTTTCCCGGCGCCTCACCTCCCTGGTGGTCTGCCCCTTGTATATCAGCGCAGCCTACCACAACCTCCAGTGCTTCAAGCTGCTGCTCCAGGCAGGGGCGAACCCCGACTTCAACTGCAACGGGCCTGTCAACACGCAGGGTTTCTGCAGGGGCTCCCCAGGGTGCGTCATGGATGCTGTCCTGCGTCACGGCTGCGAGGCGGCCTTTGTGAGTCTGCTGGTGGAGTTTGGAGCCAACCTGAACCTGGTGAAGTGGGAGTCCCTGGGCCCAGAGTCCAGAGGCAGAAGGAAGGTGGACCCCGAGGCCCTGCAGGTCTTTAAAGAGGCCAGGAGTAAGTGGCCCGAATTCAGTTCTGACTTGCTGTCTGGGACACTTGAATGAACCAAGTTGTAGCAATTAAAAAAAATTATCTCCAACTAAGCACCTGGTCAGAATCTTTGGTTAGGGCTAGGACTTTTCCAGAATGGTCTTCCAGATCGGTCTTCTCTTTAGAATTCCTAGATACCAAGAGCTGATACCAGGAAATCTATAAAAGTACATGTTCTCAAAAATTATATATTTTTTCCCCTTTGCTCTGCTTTGTGATCCCAAATTCTTCCATTTCTATTTAGGTTTTTTTTTTTTTTTTAAATATATTTTATTGATTTTTCACAGAGAGGAAGGGAGAGAGATAGTTAGAAACATTGATGAGAGAGAAACATCGATCAGCTGCTCCTGCACATCTCCCACTGGGGATGTGCCCGCAACCCAGGTACATGCCCTTGACCAGAATCGAACTTGGGACCTTTCAGTCCGCAGGCCGACGCTCTATCCACTGAGCCAAACTGGTTTCGGCTTCTATTTAGGTTTTATAAGACATATTTTTTTAATCCTCACCCGAGGATATGTATTCCATTGATTTTTAGAGAGTGGAAAGGAGGGGGAGAGATACAGAGAGAGAAACATCAATGTGAGAGACACACATCAATTGGTTGCTTCCTGCACGCAGCCGGATGGGCTGGGGATTGAGCCTGCAACCCAGGTACGTGCTCTTGACCAGAATCAAACTTGAGACACTTCAGCCCCCGGGTTGACACTCTAACCCAGCCATGGGCAAACTACGGCCCGCAGGCCGGATCTGGCCTGTTTGAAATGAATAAAACTAAAAAAAAAAGAAAAAGAAAGACCATACCCTTTTATGTAATGATGTTTACTTTGAATTTATATTAGTTCACACAAACACTCCATCCATGCTTTTGTTCCGGCCCTCCGGTCCAGTTTAAGAACCCATTGTGGCCCTCAAGTCAAAAAGTTTGCCCACCCCTGCTCTAACCACTGAGCAAAACCACCTACGGCTCTAATTTGATTTTTAAATGTTTGCCATGAACAAATTATAAGTCCATCTTTTAGCGTTTCCCATTTTCTTTGGTTTGGGATTGTGTGACAAGTCTAACTTCTGTTAGAATAAGTCCATCATTTGCTTATTTATGCACAAAGATTTTGCTAATGAATTAATATGTTGACAGCCAGAATCTGCAGTTGATGGGGCTGGGTCTTGTCCGAGGCTCTCTGGGGCTTGGAATTTATCTCGAGTGTCCTGTGCAGGCACTGTGCCTTCTGACCTGCCCCCGCCCAGCCTCATTTGCTGCCTGAGTCCTGGGCATCTGGGTTGACAGCTGGCCCTCACCTCGAACAAACTTGAGTTTGTTGTACTTGGTTGTTGGGTTCCCTGGAGCTGTCACTGATATGTGCTCCCATGGGCCTTCCCTGGGAAACCCGGTGGTTGGAGCTGTTCTGATAGAATTAAGCTGTCTGTCTAAGTTCATGCCTGTTGCCCAAGTCAGAGACATGGCTAGGCTTTTTTGACCCCGAGAAAAATTGTCAGCTTGTCCTCCTCACCTGTTGTTCAGCCGCTCTCCCAGACCCCTGAGGGGCTTTTGGGATTGATCCTGAGCAAACCCTAACGGGGTGGGAGGCAGTGTTTACAGCTGCCGGGGCATTCAGTGGTCAGCTCTGACTTCTCTGTGTGGGGAATTGAACACAGCTGAGGAGATGCTGTCAGCCAGCAGGTGCCCCAGGAAATGAGGATTTCCCTGCTTTTGCAGACACAAGGAGCAGGCAGCAAGGCCTTTTTCACCACAGCTCGTGATCCTTGCTCTAAAATTGGGAAATTGGCAGTGAGCATCTGTGCCTGTCAGTCACAGCCAGCCTTTGCTCCTCAGAGTTAGAAGAGGAATTAATCTCTCTCCTCTGTCTCTCCGTTCCTTCCCTTGGCCTCCCAGGTGTCCCCAGGGCTTTGCTGAATCTGTGTCGTGTGGCGGTGAGAAGAGCTCTTGGCAAGTACCGACTCCATCTGATTCCCTCGCTGCCTCTGCCAGACCCCATAAAAAAGTTCCTGCTGTACGAGTAGAAGGCAGTGCAGCAGTGGTTTGCAGCGTGGAAGGAGGTGATCTGCGAGGAAGCTGGACCTGCTTCTTGCCCCTGTGAGCCCATCCTGTGCTGACAGATCGTATTTGGCTGTTGCTAGGCAGGTGGCCTCGTTCTTCTGGGTTGTAATTCCATCTCAGGTCTTGGACATCGGACAGTCTCTGGGTCATTATCAGCTGAGAGGCTCCTACAGAACTTCATGTTATTCTTCCTCAGTGTCTGTTTTGGATTTTCCCAGCTGCAGATGGATGAGTGGGCCTGGAAATGTGTGCAAGTGCAGACTGTGGTCGGAGAACTCAGCACTTTCCGGAGCTGTGCTTCTGTCTGTGGTTTTACTTCTCAGTTTAATTGTTTGATTCATCTTTCTGATATCAAATGAAAAGGGAGTTTTTGATAAAAAAGTGGAGTGCAGAAACACAGTTCATGAACTTGCTTGTTGTCCCTTGCTCCTGGGGTTGACATGTGACACATGTCGTTTGCACACTCCTTCCTTGCCAGTTCAGTGTTCTTTCCTTGTGGTGGGGAGTCCTACTGTCTTCAGTCAAGGCTGGTTCCTGGCTGTGAGGATTGGCTGTGTTATCTCAAAGTCAGTGCCTGCATTTGTTTGCAATCAAAAGAGATAGCGTCTGCATTCCCCAGCGCTGTACCTGTTCTGGTACCTGACTGCTTGGCATCGTGCCACAGGTCCCGAGTTTTCTGCCATTTCACTCTGGGGAGCTTGCAGACATCGTTTGGCCAAGGCCTGCCCAGCAGCATCCACTGCCAGTTGCAGTGGGAAAAGAGACCTGCAGCGCTGCCTGTCTCCTAGTCCCTGCACACATCAGCGTGGCAACCACCTGTCCTGGGTGCGGCCAGACTGTCAGCTGCTGGTGTCAAACACCTGTGGTTGGTGATTGCTCTCTGTTTGGGACCTGATGTCTTGGTGGTGTTCCTAGAACCTAAGTGGATAGTGGTGAGGTCAGGTCTCCCCCTGGCCTGCTGGGGTGGTGGTAGGTGAGCGAAGTGAGTTGTCATCTGACATCTGGTCTGTGGGTGGGGCTCGCTTTCACACCTGGGCCCTAAAGGAGGAGTTTCAGGAGTGGTGCTTAGCTCACCTTTCAGCTTTTCCAATCCTGGGTCCCCTTTTTCTGCTGCCTGTTTGGCTCAGGCGCTCTCCAGGTGAGCCATGCTGCAGAGTTATGTGTGCTCTGTGCCTGCCCTGTTGGGTGTTGTCTGCAGGGCCTGTTGAGGGCACAGCTCCCCGGCGCTGTCCTGCGTAGAGGGTGGCTGTGTTTGGGGCTTTCTGGAAAGCAGCCCCTGGGATTGCTGCCAGCCCAGGAGCCCCCACGTGCAGGCACGACCTTCTGGCTGCACAGGGCTGGGCTCAGCTCTTCCTTTCCTGAGGACAGGTTGCTCCCTGGGTTCAGCTATCATCAAGTGAGTTTTTGCAGAATCCCTATGATTTGGAGGTCAGCCTGCCTGAAACTTCATAGCTGCCAAACATGAGCCTGAGGACGGTGTGAACAGTCAGTTGCTTCAGGCCCCTCTGCTTGTTTAGAGTGACACTTTACTAAAGCTCCTTGTCTTTTGTTGGCAAGAGTGGGCTACGGAATAGGAACAATAACTTTCTGTCAGAGCACTTTATACAATCATGTTTCTAAGCCCTGGGCGTCCAAGAGCTGAGGCTACTGCCTGGCCGGCCCAGAGCCTTCCCCAGGAAAGGGCACAGGCAACCAGTGGGAAGGAGCCGAGCCCCCAGCCTAGGCCGCGGGGCCTCTGACTGTCTCCGTAGACCTGAGCTGTGGGCCATGGCTGCTGTGGACAGACGGGCTGGGGTGGGCATGGGTGGGGGCAGCGTTGATAACTCCGAGAATTCAGCTTTGGCACCTGGGTGAGGTGTGGAATGTATTTCCCAAGTCCCCCCGTGTCACGTTTGTGCCTTTTCCTGTTGTTTATTTATATATTTATTTATGTATACCTGGCTTTATTCCGGAAAAGTGTTTAAGGCAGAGATACTTGAGTTTTGGTGTTCAGTTTTGAAATTGGATAAGTATTAGTCAATGTGTACTTGTTAAACAGATACTTTTAAGAAGAAAGGACAATTAGCAGTTTCCTAATCTAGAATATGTTTCTTTTATCGGGGCTAGGTGCCATCATTTTAAGTTTTTTTCATCTTCCATGAATTGATTCTGCAAGTGAATGTTTCATGCAGAAGTAGGAAGAGGAACAGCAAGCACAGGACTGAGCAGAGCTTGCCCTGCCCCGGAGAAGCCTCTGCCTGGGCAGGCCCGTGGGCAGGGAGGCTGCGCTGAGCGAGGCTGTGCCTTCCCCACAGGGCTTACAAGGAGAATGTGTGGGAAGCACTTTGTACTTGAGCAATCCCTGTCACATGTCAGCTGCTATCCTGGTGACTGTGGCCCCTCTCACCAGTGAGTGATGATGATGGTGCCATAAGTGCCTGGGCCTTGGGGATCAGGCTTGACTTTGTGTCCCCTGGGGTAGTGAGAGTCCTGGGGTTCACAGCTAGGTCTTGGGCACAGCGGGCTCTGTGCAGGTCGGAAGTATAACTTAGAAAGTCCAGTTTATTTAGCCTAGAGGGTTGTCTTATTCTGAGATTATGTTCTTAATTTGGGTGATAAAATGTCCTTTAATGAAGGTGGCAATAGGGGGCAATTTTTTTTAAATCTTGGTGGCAAAACAAATTGTTGGCTACCTTTTGTCAAGCTGCAGAATTTGTCAAGTTTGCCCATCTCTGAAGTCCTGAAGTCGGGGACCCACAGTTCAGCTGAGGTGTGTTTACATATTGGTGAGAAAGTCTTCTTGGGTCCTGGAAATGGCCTGTGCACTGTTGGAGGACAGTGTGGTGTTGCAGTTTCCTCATGCAGGAGCTCTGAGGTCCCTGTGTGGCATGGTCGGAAGTGCATGCTACATCCTGGCGATGACAGGGCCAGCGTCCCTGCAGTGGTGGCTCGCTGACATGAGAGACTCTCCTCTGCATCTTGTGCAGAATATACTCTATATGCTCTCGGCGGTGGTAGGATGGAGAAGTGAGGTGGGGAAGAGTGACTTCTGTTGCTTTAGAGTGTAATTGCGCAGTGTCTGGAATGCGTGGGTATCCTTTCTTTTTAAGTTGCTTTGATTTCGGATCCCTACCAAGTAATGTACGAATGTGCATAAATCTAGTCTAAGTGTGGTGTTTACGGACACCACTCTCTCGTGTATAAAACCACAATGTGCTGCTGCAGTTCAGCCAGCAGAGTCTTGCCTCGGTGTGTGCACAGCTCCTGTGTGTCCGGGACGTGCCTCAGATAAGGACTGCCCTGAGCACAGCGTCCCCTCAGCTTTGTGATGAGTGTGTTTGACCACAGTGGCTGGGACCTACTGCTCTTGCACTTGTACCTGGTTAAGAACTTTCAAAACTACGATGGACATCTTTATATGTTACTGTAAATTAATAAATGCTTTATTCCCCTATAATTTCTCCAAGTGTCTTAATTTTTTGGACCATTTGTCCCATGGGGTTGATTGTGTGAAATCTTTGTGTCTGCAGTTCAGGGGGAAGTATCTGTCTTTCTGGAAAGTTTCTGACGATTTGGAGAGAAGGACTTGTCTAAGCAGGGGTCTCGAACGGCCCTGAGGGTTGATGCACAGCTTTCAGCTGCTGGATGAGTCTGTTTCACTTAGTGGGTTTCTGCTTGGAAGAATGTTTGAAACCTACGCTTCCAAATGAGGCATCTGTCCCTGCAGTGTTCGATGGGGGAGAGGGGAGGTGGAGACCACGGGCAAGGGCCTTGTTTCTGGGCCTGTTACATGTGACTTTTAAAAAAATTCTTACCAGAGGATACCTTTTCCATTGATTTTCAGAGAGAGAGAGAGAAACATTGATGAGAGAGACACATCTATTGGTTGCCTCCCTGATGGGCTGAGGATCGAACCTACAATTGAGGTACATGCCCTTGACTGGGAATTGAACCCATGACCTGCTGGCTTATATTCTAACCACTGAGAAAAACTGACCAGGGCCATGTGGCTCATTTAAAAAAATTTTTTTTTATTGATTTCAGAGAGGAAGGGAGAGGGAGGAAGAGATAGAGACATTGAGAGAGAGAATCATAGATCGGCTGCCTCCTGCACATTAGCTACTGGGGATCAAGCCCGCAACTCAGGCATGTGCTCTGACCAGGAATTGAACCATGACCTCCTGGTTCATAGGTTGACACTCGACCACTGAGCAGCCAGGCCAGTGTGGTCATTTTCACAGGAGGTGGTGGTGGAGGGGTGAGGTGTAAAGCTTTGGGAGGAACCCAGGAACGAATGAGTTAAAGAAAGATGTATGTCCCCTGAAGTCCAGAACCTGATTGGCAGGTGTCATTGACTGGAAGACCTACAGGGGCCATGTGGGAGGAGCCATAATTGGTGTAGGAACACCAGGGAGTAGGGGAGACTGCAGCTAAGTTAGGGGAATATCCCCCCTCGGGATGGGCATTCACAGATGTCCCAGTAACTGGCTCTGCAAGATGCAAGCGCCCGGAAGTTCTCAGGCTCCGCAGCCCTGTGTCTCCTGTGTCTCCTGTAGCCATGTCCCTGTCAGCAAACTAAGTTCTGTGGTGGCCGCAGCCACTCGGGCAGGGAAGCCCATTGGGCTGCCTGGGCTGTTGGGCTCTGTGCTGTCTTCTAACATCACGGAAGTCCAGTAGAGAAGGTGCTGGCCATTGATGGAACAACGAAGTGCAAATTGGTGTTTGAACACAAGTACTTCAGTACTTTGCTAAGAAGAATCTTTTTTCTTCTTCAAATCCTCACCTGAGGCTATTTTTCCATTGATTTTTTAGAGAGAGTAGAAGGGAGCCAGAGAGAAAGAAACATTGATGTGAGAGAGATACATCGATTGATTGCCTTCCCACATGCCCTGACCAGGGCCAGGGATCGAGCCTGCAACAAAGGTACATGCCCTTCACCAGAATCGAACCTGGGACTCTTCGGTCCGCAGGCTGACGCTCTTTCCACTGAGCCAAACTGGCTCGGGCTGGGGAGAGGGATCTTTGAGACTCACTGCTTAAGAAAGTTAAAAGACCAAGAGCCACCACAGGAAGCATGAGTGGAGCTGCCTTGATGAAAGAGATTCTGACAAGGCGGTCCTGTTCCTTAACCCACCCCCAGAAGTGGGATGTCTGTTGGCCTGGCAGAGCAGCGCTAGGAAAAGGACATCTTCCAGAGTCCCAGGGACATCGGCCCCCGGGCATCTGTCCTCTGGCGGAGGAACGCCCAGCAAGTACTGCGTAGGTGCTTTTAATTGGGGCAAGAAAGGGCATTTCTTAGCAATCAACCTCAGAGTTCCTCAGAGCCTCTGCAGGAGACACCAGCAGGGGAGGAGGCTGGAAGGAGCTGAGCAGTTTGTGGCCTTCGGAGAACGACACCTTTAGCTCCACCACCCACTCTGTTCAATCTGGACCTCAGCCGGTCCCACCAGGCAAGGTGGCTCGCATCTTCAGCTTCCTTGCTCAGACGTTGGCCCTTCATGTGGAACTCGGCAGGGCTGGGAAAATGCATCATCTTATTTCACCCTTGACATGTTTATTGCAGGGAATTTTCAGATCTGTGGGCAAGACCGTTCAAGCTGCTTCCTTGTGAAGTATTGACCAGAGACAGGTCAGCTATTGGGTGCAGGGAAGGAGGAAACAATGAGGGGAAGAGAGACAGATGCGGGAAGGAAGTTAAGAGGAAGGAACCCCTAATCACAGCATTGCACTTCTCTGCTTCCTCTTAGTGTCAGAATTTTCCGAGTAGATGTACTTTGTTGATAGTTTTCTTCTCCATTAATCTGACATGAACGGAGCCTCCTGTTCCTTCAGTGGGAGGGACCTGTCCCCAGCTCTGTGACTGTTTCTCTTCAGTTCTCTGGGCCAGTCTCTTCACGGGCAGAGGGAGACAGGAATGTCGCCCCTACTTAGGCTCGTTTCAAGGTTAAACTCATGCAGAGGGTGCTGGAGGCAGGAGCTCTGTTCAGTGAGGTGTGCATTAACTCGGCGAAAGCTGCACGGAACCCAAATCTGATGTCTGGGGGGCATTTACCAGGTGAAGGGGCGGGTCTGGGTGAGGAGGAAGAGGGGAGCTTGTGCAGAGGCCCATGGGGGAGGGGCATGTCACCTGGGCTGAGAGGAGGCCGGCCAGCGAGGATGGAGGGGAAGAGGGGCACGGGGGCTGGAGAGGCCGGCAGGGAGGCCACGGGGTGTCCACTGGGCCAGGTTAACACTTTGATCCTCATCCCGAGAGGCCACTTAGTGGTTTAAGCAGGGAAAGCCGCAGTGGGACTTGCATCTGGAACAGAGCGGGTGTGCTGGCTGAGGGAGCTGGCCTTGATGTCCAGGCCGGCCAGTGGCTCGGCTGCTTCCTGAGGCTGGCTCTACTGCTGGCAGCCTGGACTTAGTCCTTGGCAGAGTGGTGAGGGAGTGAGCTGACCTTAGACTTGTTTAGGAAGTGAGATCTTCTGGTCTTGGTGACTGATGGGGAAATGAGAGGCTAGGAAGAGGAAGGTGTCAAAGACTGTGACTGGATTTCTGCCTCATGCAACTGGGTAGAGAATCTTGCTATTCCTGGAGATGGAAGCTACCGGATGAGGCTCAATCCTGGCAATGTTGAATTGAGATGCCTTTGAGATACCCCAGGAGGAATGTGGAATAGGTTACTTGGAAGTACCAATTCGGAGTTCAGGGTTGAAGTCTGGTCTATCTTCATCCTTTCCGGTACCCACACCAGCCTTGAGGCAGAGTAAACTTTCCTGGCCCTTGATTGGAGGCTCAACTCTCTTCCATATAAACAAGCTAAACAAACAAACAAACAAAAACACCAAATCCTTTTCAACTCCCAATCTGCCTCCAGCTATATTCACCTCTTCCCCTGCACGTTGCCAGTATAATTTTGGGGGTCAAATGGACTCCTTTAATTTAATTCTAGCTCTGTCCCTCTCAGCTTAGGCTGGCAGTTTTTGCTGATATAATTCTCTCAAAAAATTTTGGGTCACATGTGAATCTCATTGGGGTTTACCCATTAGGCAGAAGCTACACTCACAGTTCTTTCCTAGATAAGCCTTTAAGCTTTGTTTCTTCCTTCTCTGGGTTTAGTTTGCTGTGCTTTTAAAATTTCTTGAAATGGAGACTTTAGTAATTGATTTTCAGCCTGTCTTTTATTCGTTTGTGTGCATTTAAATGTACAACTTTCCCTCTGAGCAAGGTTTTGCTGCTGATCTCATAAATTTTGATGTTATACTTTTATTCATTTAAAAATTTCTAATTTCTATTATTTCTTATTGACCCATAGGTTATTTAAAAGGGTACTTGGAATTTTTAATTTTCCCCCTATTGAGGCTTAATTCCACTGTAGTAATAAAATACAGACTATAATCTATGTTTTTGATTCTTGGAAATTGTTGAGATTTCAACATCTTGCTCAAATCTTCTATACATTTACTAATATTTTTGTCTGTTTATTCTATCCATTTTGGATAAACATTTGTTAAAATATTCTATTTTGACTATAATTGCATCTATTTTTCCTTCTATTTGTGTAAATATTTGCTTTGCATATTTTAAGCCTATATTGTTGACACATTGCATTCTCGTGTTTTCATATTACACAGTGTTTTACATAAATGTTAAAGTCAGGCCTTAAAATTAAATACCCACTGCATTTTAAAGTTATTTATTACATGTTCTTACAAGCTAATTTCTTTTTAAAGTATGATACTTTGTAAAACATTTTTTATACTAGTTCCATAGAAAATTATCTGGCCACTGGGTAAAGCTAGCAATAAAACTACTGGTGCACAATGTGTTAAGTGCATATAAATTTGAAATTGTCATGTCTTCCTGGTGGATTGACCCTTTCATTATTACAAAATATCCCTCTTTATTAATGATTCTTGCTTTTGAGTTTAAGTTGGTATTATGTATAACTTCATTGGCTTTCCTCTGGTCAGTTGCTTACATAGTGTATTTTTTTTTTTAATTAAATCTTTATTGTTCAGATTATTACATTTGCTCCTCTTTTTTCCCCCAATAATTCCCCTCCTCCCAGTTCCCGCCCCACCCCTGCCCTCACTCCCCACCCACTGTCCTCATCCATAGGTGCACGATTTTTGTCC